TAAAATCACAGAGGTTCAGAGTAAAATCTTTGAATCTGTGAGCCCCCCTCTTCCCCCCAGCTGGAAGCCCGTCGCAATTTGCAGACTTGCCACCCTGTAGTTACGCTACTCATTTTAGACAACTTAGATGATTTTCTTTGACTATGGAGATCATTGTTCGAATGATTACAAGTGTGACTATTGATACCAAAGTCTAGGGTTAATTACTTCGATGAGCATGGATAGCTCGTCGCCCGACCAGAATCAGGCCCGAATGTACGGCGCGTCGAGTTCCGCGCGCGCCTCATAGAGCCATCAGACCACCACGGATGGGGCCCTAGGGCTGATGCCGATACGGCGCCGCGGAGGACTTAAGAGATTGCCGGGGCTCTGGCTCGAAGTGCTCGAATAAAGTAGGAACGGGGTGGTTTTTAGTCAGTAAGAGTCTGAAACTCCTTCCCGCCTCACCCAGGCAGGAGAATCCAATCGATGATTTTTCCACCTTAAAAAAAGAGTTGAATACTTGAATCAGTCTTACTTTTGAGTACTTTTATCGTCATCAGTCTGTATCTGTTTTACTGCTAGGCAAAGTCCTCTTCTCACACGAAGAAAGATGGAGTAAGTAAGAATAATAATGCAAATATAAGACTTTTAACAAACAGATAAACCAAACTAACTTATACAAATACAAACCATACATTTATATTATATTAGCGACCAGCCCCGGCTTCGCACGGGTGCAATATAATATCAATATATGACATGCTTATACATACAAACCTTCCTTAAAAACCACTCATTCTATTAAAAACTTTTTTTTTCAATCTTCCACTTAGCAATCTGTTTCTACAGAAACAATAATCTAATTTGATGGCAGATTTACATCAGTGGAAGTGGATTAGCTGAGATGTGTCCCCATTGGTACCATTCTCATCTTTTGTCTATTAAAAACTGTATCAAAATCCGTTGCGTAGTTTTAAAGATCTAAGCATACATAGGGACATACAGACAGCGGATAGCGACTTCGGTTTATACTATGTAGTGATGAACAAACAGTAACTTACATACCTACTTACTAAAAGGTTTTCCTTGCAGATTGTAAGTACAATTTAATATTATATCTTTATAGGTATATATAGTTATAAAGTGAGAACGTGAGTTTACAGTATTGTTCTTATAAAGGGTCTCTGGGAATACAAGTTAGTAGCACGTAACTGTGTGTGTAGGATTTAGAACCTCAAAGGTATATGAAACAAGGGTTATTTTTGATAGAAAGTATGAAAGGTGTCTTAATTACTTAAAAATAACAAACAATGTTATGATTATAGTTTCCGACCGATTTAATGACATTTTATCTGTAGATATAAAAATGAATTCCTTTCGCAACGTGTCGCGGGTTCGATTTCCGCGCGGAGCAACTCTTTGTGTGATCCACAGATTGTTGTTCCGGCTCTGGGTGTTTTGTGTATGTGAACTTGTGTGTTTGTAAACGAACCCACGATACAGGAGAAAACCCTAGTATGGGGCAACGTTATTATTTTTTAAGTAATAATATAAAAAACCTTATTAAGAACTGTCTTTTACTCGTAGCTTTGCCCGCGTATTCCTGTTTTATTGCGTGGGAGCATTTAATCGGAATAAAAGTATACATACATCACCTAAGTCAGCCCATACCCTGCCTGTATACCAAATTTCATCGAAATCCGTTCAATACTTTCAGCGTGATTAACGGACAAACATGCAAACATTTATAATATTAGTGTGATTACGAAATAAAATCCAATACTTTCCTTAGGTACCTATAAAAAGATCTCAAAACTAACCCATCTCACAATAGCACTGCACTAAACAGAAGTCGAACGTAAAGAGTATCGTTTAATAAAATATTAAAAGCAACTGAAACACCTAAATCTAGCTACTAAATATTTCAAAGACTAAGTCACTAGAAATCTGTGTGGATCTGCGAACGGTGAGCAACTCGGTGCTCCCGCCTGGGTGAGGCGAAAGAGAGTGTCAGACTCTTACTGACTAAAATCCACCCCGTTCCTTTTCCTGCACTTCGAGCCGGAGCCCTGGTAACCCGTTAGGTTCTCCGCTACTAGAACAATAGTATAGAATGGTTAAATATTATGGAACTAAGATTTAAGTATGTTTCTGGTGTATCTGTAACTGTAAGAATGAAAATGATAAATTATCATGAAAAATATTACGCGTCAGCGTTGCGTTAGGTCCAATTATCTGATGACGTCACGTTCCGTCTCAGTAAGGGTTCGTACACAAAACTGCGATGCGACGTCGCATCGCAAGAATTTGCGAATTGATTCGCATCGCGCATCAAAATCGAATCTTTCCAAAATCTTCTGTGTTTCTTTTTCCTGTATCGCATTTTCCTATATAAGCAATAACAGAAGTGTACACTTCTTTTTACGATCTAAGTCACGACCTAGCTTTAAATTTAAAATACGTTTAGTACGGTTGACGGTCGTCGAAGGAATGGTCACCCTGGGAGACGCCTTGTCGCACGAAATCGCATCGCAGCAATTCGTATCGTAACTTTCTGCGTTGCGAATTCGCTTCGCATCACAGCGCAGTTTTGTGTACGAGCCCTAACTACATTTTACATTTACTTGTGACGTAGCAAAACATGTCTTCTTGACGCGCAAGAATATTTCAGTAGTCCTACAGTTTTGCTTGACGGTCGAAGTATTAAATAAATATTTCATCATCATCATCAACAGCCTATAAATATCCACTGCTGAGCAAAGCCTCTTCTCACACGGAGAAGGTTTGAGCATTAATCACCACGCTTGCTCAATGCGGGTTGGTGATTTCAAACTTATAATTAGAAATTATAAGCCTAGGTTTCCTCACGATGTTTTCTTTCACCGTTTGTCAGTGGTGTCTGAATAATCTTAGAAAGTACATATAACTCGGAAAAAGTCACATTGGTACTTGCCGTTGGTAGGTTTCGAACCCGCACCCTCATGCATCGTCTTAAACCAATAGAAATAAATATTTCATTATGTCTATATAAAATAGAAACTATGTATCAGGTGTTAATAAAATATGAAGCGAACCACACTCGCGTTGCGGTTCATATTCGACCGTATCATATTCAACCGTATCATATTCAACAATTCTGACTTTAATTAACTCGACCGCAATTAGGCCAGGGATAGTGCAAATTAAGCTATTTTATCATATAAATGTTATTTTGAGTGAAAAATGAACGAAAGTGCGCCATAACTCACTTACATACATTCGTAACAAATTATTAAGTAGTAACTTGTATTTTGTGTTCATACAAAAAAAAAAATAGAGAAATGAATGAAAAATGGGATAGATCGTGTAAAGAAATCTATAACATCAAACATATAGCCACAAACTGTTACGAATTTATTTATTGATTAACACGGTATAAAATAGTCCAATCACATTAATCAAACACTTAAAAAAATCCAAATGCTTAAAGTTCGGTTTGTTGAACGCGGGATCTCTGGGAACCAACCATGACGAATTTCGTATCGCCATGGCTGATCACTCAGTAGATATCATGGCGATCAATGAGACATGGCTCAGACTGAATGAAGAGGGGCGTGCGCCTAGTGTCCCGGGTTACCGACTGAAGCATGTACCGCGGCCGACGTCTGTGCGGGGAGGACGTGGTGGAGGAGTGGGGTTTTACATAAAAACGGGTATAAGGGCAAGAGTGATGCAACACTCGGAACAATTTGGGGTTGAGCAGATGTGGCTAAGTGTAGGCGTCAACGGAAAAAAAATATTGGTAGGTACAGCGTATAGACCGCCGTGGCTTAATCTGGGTGGATTCTTGGATGGCATAACTGACAGCATCACTGCATTGGCTCCTTACGACAATGTTATATTGTTGGGGGACTTCAATGTCAATTTATTAAATAAAGACCACAAGACGGCCACCTTGACTGATTTTATAAACTACACCCAGATGAATCAAGTGGTACAGACGCCAACGCATTTCGTGGGAGAAAGTGGTACCCTAATAGATGTTGTGTGCACAGACATAAAAGTGCGCAATGTTGTTGTGAGTCATATCAGTGAGCTCGGAAATCACTCTTTTATTACTTGTGAGGCTGTGATCAAGACGGAGAAGACTAAACCCAGAATTGTAGCTTATAGACCGCTTAAGGATATATTAGTGGACAACTTTAATGCAGACTTGGAATCTATAGATTGGATGGGGATGAGTGGCTCGAGTGATGTAAATGGTATGGTTTCACTATTCATATATGCTACCAATCAGCTCTATGACCTCCATGCTCCCATAAAAACTAAAATGTTTAGAGGCTACCCTACTCCATGGATCACTGACAATATCAAACTGTTGTTCAAGTTGAGAAATGAGGCACGAGTGAAATTCCACACTTTAAGAAAAAACCAATGTAGTGAAGAAACTGTTGAGTCTGCCAGGAGATACTATGTGGACCTCAAAAACCAAGCATCATTTGCACTGGCCCGGGAGAAAGAAGTATATTTCTCCAAGGATATCAACAGGAATCTTAAGAACCCCAAAGTTTTATGGAGGAACCTAAAGACACGAGTCCTGCCTGACCATGGGAACTGCGGGCTCCCGGGTCACTTTGATGACCCGAACAGCATTAATAGAGCCTTTCTTGATGTTCCGGGATCGTGTAGTGTCTCAATGTCTCGGCTGACATTCTTTGAGTTCAGCAGATTCAGTGCTGATGAATCTCAGTTCGTGCTCAGAAGTGTCAGCCAGGCGGATGTTCTGAAAGCATTGCAGGATCTTGGAACAAATGCAACAGGCACTGATGGACTTGGTTTGGATATGCTGAGATTGACACTACCACACACGCTTCAGATTATCACAGCCATAGTCAATACATCAATAAAAACCAACACATTCCCTGAGGCATGGAAGTGTGCTGTGGTGCGGCCTATACCAAAAAACAGCAATCCAAACTCCTTCAAGGACCTTCGCCCCATCAGTATACTGCCGTGTCTGTCAAAAGTTTTGGAGAGGGTGGTATATAATCAGACAATCAAATATCTGGAGGACAACAACATATTGCCCGAGATGCAATCGGGTTTCAGAAAGTGTCGTGGGACTGCAACGGCACTGGCTGATGTTATAGGCAACATACTGGAGGCTCGTGACGGGGGTGAGGGGACGATATTGGTGCTCCTTGATTTTTCCCGGGCCTTTGACTCGATAAACACCACTTTACTGCTTTCCAAGATGGCTTACTATGGATTCGCGATGGAAACAATAAAGTGGTTTGGAAGCTACTTGAACAATAGGTCCCAACTTGTTGAAATCCGTAAAGAGGACGGAACGGTCGTGTCGTCTCTTCCACTACCTGTCGCGCGCGGCGTGCCTCAGGGCTCAATTTTGGGACCGCTTCTGTACATTCTCTACAGTGCCGATATTGTAGACTCAATTAAACATTGCAAGTACCATATGTATGCGGATGATATTCAGCTGTACATGTCTTGTAAACCTGCAGACGTCTCGTTGGCTGTGCAGAATATTAATGCTGATTTGCAAAACGTTTTTACTTGGTCGGAGGACAACTGCCTGGTACTGAATCCGGTGAAATCCAAATATATGGTCTTGGGAAGTAAGAGGACAGTCAGTGTTATGCTGTCTGCTGGGCCAGTGGTTACAATAAACAATGAAAATATAGAAATGGTAGACACGGCAACCAATTTGGGTCTCACTATGGATCCAGAGCTACACTTTGAGAAGCACGTATTAAATAGTACAAGGAACTGTTTTTATAGACTAAAAACTCTATACTGCTTTAGGAAATACTTGAGTGTAGCTCTGCGCAAACAACTTGTGGATAGTCTGGTCCTATCAAGACTGAACTACTGTGACACAGTTTATGGTCCATGCTTGCTAGCAAAAACAAACAGATTGGTGCAGCGTGTTCAAAATGCTTGCATAAGATACTGTGTGGACATACCACGAAGAAGCCATGTCACCCCTTTTGCGAATCGAAACAATATTTTAAAAATGGAAGCTCGGAGACGTTTGCACCTGGCAGGCCTATTGTTTGGAGTTATTACTACCCAAAAGCCACGGTACCTGTATGAGAAATTACAGTGGAGACAGCATAGTTCAATAAACCACATACGCTCAACTACAAATCCACTATCCATCCCTCAGCACAGAACAGCGGCCTTCAGGGGGAGCTTCAAATATGCTGCGACTCACTGTTGGAACAACCTGCCACCACCAATGCGAGGCCTGAAAACCAAAAAACACTTTTTACAACAGTTGAAGAATTTACTGTTAAACACACAAAAACGTACATAGATTACACACACTACATACATAACACATACAATTCACTACTCACCTCAAGGGTCGCGGCCTTCCAACATGGTGATGCACAGGTATCCAACAGGTTGTTGTTCGTAGCTGCAGCCTCCCCCATCATTTATGGTCAATATAGGTATATCTGTATTTTACAGGTCATGCCGGCTACTTGCTGTAAATGCAAAACACACAATTCATATCACACTCACACACGGTACACTACTGCTTTAATAGCAACAATTCACGTCACTACATTTACCAAGTTAAGTGAATCATGGTCTGCACTCACATCATTTCGTTGTTTTGTTGTTTTGCATTCTTGTTCGCTGGCGATTAGTGAAGCTGGCGGGACGCCATTACGTCACCCAAGGAGATGCTGAAAATCAGCGCTGCGACGCTAACCTCTTGAGGTTTAAGTCGCAGAAATTGCTGAGCATTATCCTGTTTTTGCGCACGCATACATGACGCACAATATTATGACCACAGAGCATGTAACAATGGCATGGGCAGTGTTTCCTTGTCTATGGTCCACAGATAATGTTAGATATTAAATATTCTATCATTTCAGTAAAATAATAAGTCTGTGGACCATGGACAAGATCTCACTTCATTTTGATTTTTTGGCTTTTTTTTGTTTTCTTTTTATTTTTTAAATAATTATGTTATGTGTGTTTTGCGCAGAAATAAATGGTTTTTCTTTCTTTCTTTCTTTCTAAAAAAAAAAGAATATTAAGTAACATAAAAGTAAAAGTGGCAAAAGTAAACGAGAAAAAATAGTAAAACTACAAAAGAGTACATAAAATTAAACATATGCAATACACATTAAACAAACACAAATATAATACATTTATACAACTACCCAGAAAATTAAAGACATAGTACTGTATATCCAAAACCCTTAACACTAGGCATCCTAACACTACACGCTAGGACTTGTAACCATTCAACTAATGAAGTAACGATTACGTAAAGATCCAATAATGACCCCACACGGAGAGTAAATCTGACCCAAGACAAGCGCGAACTACTTATAATGAAACCAATAATGAGGATAGGGAAAACCAACTCAAAGACGCCATAATGAAAAAAGTTATGAACAAACTACTAGACGATCTCCAAAGTTCTTCATTTTCATTAAGTGAGTTTATTTATCTTTCTCGGAGATGTAATTATTATGGTATTATTATTTTGCCATTAGTTTCTAGGTCTGTGTCTCTAGGAATTAAGTTTGTGTCTAACTTTCTAGATTGATAGGGATTGCTCCCTTTTTCTTACTGAGGTTTAGGTATTAAGACCTTTATTTATTTACTAACTACTTCTGCGCGGTTTCACACGCTCTGCTTAGCTCCTATTGGTCGTAGCGTGATGTTTTATAGCCTATAGCCATCCTCGATAAATGCGCTATCCAACACAAAAAGAATTATTCAAATCAGACTTGTAGTTACGGAGATTAGCGCGTTCAAACAAACAAACAAAAACCAAACTCTTCCGCTTTATATAATAGTATAGAGGTAATATAATGTATAAAATTTATATCCAGTATTGTGAATATAAGTACCTACCTATAACCGGATGAAATCGTAAACAAAGTAGAAGCTAGAAATATATTTAGATTGGTTCTTGCGCGTGGTCGCAAGTGCGACTGCCGGGCAAGGGGTCTCGGGTTCGATTCCCGGGCCGGGCAAAGTATTACTGGGTTTTTCAAAAAATTCCCAGTAATAGCACGGAGTCTGGAATTGTGCCCGATATATGGCAATAGGCTCACCCCCTATTACATGGGACTCATAACATAAATAGTGAAAAGTGGGTGTTACATTGTACAGTGGCATAATGTACACCTCTGCCTAGCCCTTCGGGGATAAAAGGCGTGATGTTATGTTATGTTGTTGCGCATGAATTGGTTTCGAAACTTGAAGGCACGGGATGTGTCACAGGCTCCTGACTGAACCCTCGCTACGAGGTTCGATAGCTTATGACAAGAAAATAATATTTTCCTACAGCAAAATCCAAAGACTGGTGACGTACCACAACTGAATGGCTCATTGTGAATAATCACAGATTGCTAAGTTGCAGATAATATAAAAGAAATTGACTTACCTACCTATTTAGAAAAACAGCTAGACTGAATTCCGCCCTAAGATACAAGCTGTATACAAATTCCTTTCTATTTTACCTTTTATCTGAATAAAAGGAGTCCGTAGGTAAATCTATGTCGTCATTTTTACACCAGTTACGTTACGAGTCCATTGTAATAGAGGTGAGTCTATTACTATACTTACACTGTACAAGATTTCGTGTTAATACTGAATAAAAAAACGAAAATACCCAATGATATCTGACTCAAGCTATCCCATTAAATTTTATCTCCTAATGTTTGATTGATTTTGTCTGAATCAACATTTTATTTATAACGAAACGCAAATCTGGTACTTTCATTTCAATAGCAAAAACCTTCACATAATAATTTAGCACAGAACCATACGTCAGTTGATAGTAAATCTACTCACGTATATATTTGTCGTCGCTGTTATCATTAAGTGGAGCTGTGACTATGTGAGCTATGCTCGTCACGTCGCCCTCGTCGCGAAATAAAGGATTACACATTGTGGCTGTACCGACGAGCTTTCAGTTCAATAGCCGTGATATTTGGTGGTCGATGCGATAACTGCTTTTCGGCTCTACAAGGTTTTGTGGTTTGAGTGTTGCCGGTGTTCAAAGGTTCGGGACATGCGCTATTTTCTATTTTTAATGGGCGGTTTTGGGCAAATAGTTCATTAATTAATTAGTGAGAGTTTTATCTTTAAACTACATAAGATTTACGTTAGTTTAAAATTAAGCTACCTATTGTTAATCACAGATGTAATACTTTTTGAGATCAGTAACAATTGTTCTGTCTGATACTCTTTCTATGCGACAATTATTCACCAATCCCTTTCTCCCCAGGTGGTGGCAGAGTTCGAGGACGTGGAACCTGATGCCCTGTACGATGTACTCCACGACCCTGAGTACAGGTCGGTGTGGGACACACACATGCTGGCCGCGGAGGACGCTGGACATATCAATGTCAACAACGACGTGGGATATTATGCCAGTGAGTAGAATTTGTTTATTGTTTATCTAATCTAGTGAATTGGTGACGGACATTGACTTGTATTTTTTATTTATTTTTATGGTATAAGCCGGTAAACGAGCCGACGGATCACCTGATGGTAAGCAATCGTCGCCGCCCATAGACACCTGAAACACCAAACTCAAACTCAAACTCAAAAGCATTCATTTCAATTAAACCATAATTTGGTACTTTTGAAACGTCAACAAATATAAAATAAATAAAAGTCTGTCAGTCTGTCCGTCAGCGAAGCTAGGCGCTCGTTCCAAAATGTCGATTCGAGTGGAGAAGAACGAGCAAGATACTCCATGGACACACCAGACACACCAGAGACGTAACAAGTGCGTTACCGGCCTTTTGGGAATAGGTAATTTGAGGATTGTGAGGGATTCCGGGGTTGGGGAAACTGGGGAGGGGGGGGGGATAAATTGGGCCTCCGGTACTGTTTTTCTGTTTCCTGATCGGATCTAGGAAGAACTACATCAATGCAATCGACATTGACATTTAACAGGTACACTTCCATGGATATGTCCGGAGGATATGTCCAATAACTGAGGGATTTCCTAAATACATTTTTGACGTGTAATTGCGATTCCCAAGCGTTCATCCTTTAGTCAGTTCGTCAGTTCAGTCTTCGGGCTGATGATGATGAGGACACTACCATGTAGTTTACACTTTGCAGTCAAAGTAAATTACTTCGTTTTTTATAGAAAACAAAACCACCTCACACTGTCTCAAAAGAAACACTATTAAAATTATCACAACGTTGTTACAATACATAGTTTCATTTGTATTACTTTGTTAGCCCTTTGTGGGGCACGAGCGACGTTATGTTGTCTAAAAGAGGAATAGTTGGTCATGTCACGTGTCAGTTTAGAGGGATACGGGTCCCGACTAGTCTCGACTGCACGTTTGCATAGTTACCATAGGGAAATAAATTGTATTTCCACATGTAATTTGCTTTGTGAAGATGAGAAGAAACTATGTAACTAAAGAATTGTATTGTAAACCCGATTGAAAAAGAGTAACCTATGGAGTTTCTTGCTCGTTCTTCTCCATAGGAATCTACAGCTTGGAATGAGCAACTAGCTTCACTTCTAAATCTTTGTTGTTGACGTTCAAAGGTGCCTTCCTGGTCTAATTGAAATAAATGATTTTGGCTTTGACTTTAAAAAACACATGTTGTGTTGGTTGAAATTGGTTATTAACTCGTCGAGTACCGGTTTTGTAGACACAATTATAGAACAATAGGTTGCGGTCACCGGTGACCGCTTGGTCTTTGACAGTTTAAAAGAGCCTTTTTCGTGTTTTTGTTGGTATTACCGGTAAAATTACTCCAATTTTCTGCAAAATGGTAACATATACTTATTCATAGTCTTCAGATAAGTGACTTATCTAAGGATTACATTAATTTCGGTTAATAGAACGAATTTTAAACTGAAAATAGTCAATAACTAAAGAGCCTAAGCATCATTCATGAATCCGCAAGAAAAACATTTACACTTGGTTTTAACATCAAAAATGAAAAGAAATCAGTTCCAACAAAAAGATACAGATTAAATAACACTTTAGCGCCTTCGCGTGGAATACAACAAATTAGTCCTATCCACAGATAATGAGTTTCTTCTCCCTGTTCAGGCTCTCATTAAGAACGAGTATCATTACAGTTTTCTATTTCCTAGCGTTTACCGTTTCAAGGAGCTATCTGAATGAACTTTTAGCGCTTCTTGTTTTTATTATCTCTTTGCTTTTTTGCTGTTGTCGGGGTGATTTGCGTTAGTTTTGTTAGTGTGTGTTTTGAATTTGTACAACTGT